GCCTCCTGGACGCGAAAGCTGACGAAGTTGCGGCCATGGGCCGTGGAAGCGAGCGCCTCGTCCAGGTAGACAGAGGGGAAGAGGGCCGTGCTCTCGGCCCACAGCCAGGCCAGCTGGTCGTTTCGGGAGACCTCCACGTCGGGGCAGCGGCCGGTGTAGGTCTCCCAGTTCTGCATGTAGTCGTGGTTGTAACAGTCGGGGAAGAGGTAGAAGCCCCAGAGGTGCTGGGGCCGAAATCTCTTGGCGGAGCGCAGCGTCCTCAGCATGAACTCGCGAGCGCCGAACTCGAACTCGTACTGCGCCTGCTTGCTGACGCGGTCTGGCGGCCAGTCGGGGTGGCGGCTGGCCACCAACTGGCGCGACAGCTGGCGGTACACGTCCTTGTCCTGCCAGTTGCGCACCCACACGGGCCGCCAGTCCTCCCAGTCGATGACCGCCAGGCCTGCGGGCTCCTGCCTGCGGATGTAGTGCTCCACGCGCTCCTGCAGCATGTCCAGGTGCGCCCGCAGGACGCTGTCATTCTGGGGCACCCCACCGTGCACCGGCTTCCCCTCCGAATCGAAGTAAGGGTACAGGCCTAGCCGCTCCCGGTAGAAGATGGTGATGTTCTGGTCCACGAAGCCCTCGTTAGGGGAGGCCTGCACGTCGAAGGCCTTCTCCTCCAGGTCCAGCGGCACCTTGAGGCGTGGGCCACAGTCCTGCGTGGGCACGTCCCATGCCACCACGAAGGGCCGGCCGGTGAAGATGGGCGTCGCTGTGGGCTTGAGCTCCTTGGCCCGTGCTACCGCCAACGCCAGGGCCAGGGCCAGGATGATGGCGGGGCTCAGGCCTGCCCACATGCTGGGGGCTGCAGGAAGCGGTGTCACCTGCCTGGCACCGGCTCAGGAGCTGAGGAAAGGGTGAGAGAGAGCAAGTCAGCCCAGAGAGCCTGGAGGTGCGGCCGCTGGCCCATCCACCTGCCGAAGCCCACGCTGTCAGACCCTGGGCCCGGCTGTCACAGGTCTGAGACCACAGGCCACCGCGGGGCAGGCACGACCCCGGGCGCGAAGCAGCGGCCTCGGGTGGGAAAGGACCTGTTAGGTCTGTGACCCCTGAGGACTGGGCGAGTCGAGCTATGGACTCGCTGCCGAGGCACTCAGATGCCCGCCCCCCTCCCCCATCGCTTCGCAGCGCCCAGACCCGAGGCCCACGGCACCCGGTGAAGAGCTCTCGGTCCAGAGAAGCGCTAGCATCGGGGGAGGCCCCGGGGCCCCGGCAGCGGCCCGCGGGCTGGAGCGCACCGCCCGGGCCAGCGGGGCTGTCAGGACTTTGTCTCGAGGCGGTCCCTCTCCCCGGCCCCGCGAGGCCCCGCGGGGACAAAGGGGCAGCGGACCTCCCACGGCGGCGCCCGCGGCCGGCCCTTCCCTCCGCAGCCCCCGGGAACGCGCGCCCCCCGCCAGGCGGGTCGGGTAGAGCCCCCTCCGCCGGGCCTTTGTGCGGGACCCCGCCCCCGCCCCGCACGTGGGGCCCGAGCCCGGCCCGGTGGGGCTGGGGTCCCTGGGCCGCCTCCCTGGGGGTTCGGAGCCCAGCCCGCGGGGAGAGAGCCGCCAGGCTGGCATCGCCCGCCCTCACCTCGCGCCGGGTGCCGCCAGGACCCGCGCCACAGCCACCGCCATCCTGGGCCCGGCCCAGCCCACTCCGGCCGCTCGCCCAGACGCGGCCCGGCTCGGCGCCTCTGCTGGCTCCGCCCCCGGCTCGAGGGCCCTTTAAGAATCCTGCGCGGAGGCGGGCCCGGGGCAGGCCAGGCGGCCGGGGCGGGAAGGCGCGCCCCATGCTCGCGCCGCCAGTGCGGGGTTTTGGACTCTAGAGTCCCCGGATCCTCCTCCAAAGAAAGGGGCGACCCATATGAGGCCGTGAGGCCCCTCCGAACGGGGGTTTCTCCTGGAATCTCAGCGCCCAACGCCAGTCAGGCCGAGACACCCCCCCGCAGCCTGTGCGGGTGGTACAGTCCTCCCCGGTCCGCGGCGCGGCCAGCCCCTTAAAGGGACAGTAGCATAAAGGACGGGGATCGGGGAGGCAATAAAGGAGGTGGTATTCCCCCATTCAGCCGCGAGGAGGTGCTGTGGGGCCCTGCGGCCTGGCTTTGGGGGCAGCGGCGGATCTGGCTCTGCACCCGAGTGTCGCCCCGGCCGGCCGGGGGGCCCCTTTGTGTGGAAAGGGGGACGGTGACCAGAGCCGATCTCCAGACTCCCAGGACAGTAGACCCCTGTGGATCGGGGCTCCCCTCCCCCGTCCAGGGTCTGAAGGGGAGCCCCGCCCCCTGCTTGCCTGGGGAAGGGGGCCGAGCGACCGCCTCTTAGTCCTTTCTGGGCTGGGCTGAGGCCGGGGTTGTCTTGGCAACATGAGCAGTGGGTCTCAGCTTGGCCGGCGGGTTGAGGGCCTGTAAGGCCAGCGGGCCCTCGGGATAGGGCACCCCCCTTCCAGCGACATGCATCAGGGACGGGCCAGCCCCTTGACCCCCGTCCCCTTCTGCCCAGTCTCGGAGGATGAGGGTGGGGGGCTGTGGGAGCCCCCAAGGCTTCCTTTCAACCCTGAGGAGGCGGAGGCCACCCTTTGCAGGAGGTCCTGGTGGGATCGCAGAGAACACTGGCCCGGCCAGAGGGGCGCCCCAGGCCTCCACCCGGTATCCTGAGCCCATCTCCCCGCAAACCCCTTCCGCTGGGCAGCGGGCTTGCAGCTGGACTGGAGCAAGACCCCCTGGCCTCTTGCTAGATCCGCTCCCCGTGCCGTGCTCAGCTCCCGGAAGGGCCGGGGTCGCACCAGCCCACTCCGGCCGCTCGCAAGCCGGGGCGAGGGAGGGAACACAGCTGAGAGCGCACCGATGCGGGGTGCAGACCAGCCGCCTGCGCGGGGCTCACCTGTATGGGAGTCCTCGGCTCCGTAGGTTAGAGCCTCTCCAGTCCAGCGACTCGCGCCAGCTGCTGCCCCATGGGCAGCCCGCCGGCGACTTGATAAACCCCATCCCCTCCTACTCCTCCCGCCTCCCACCCCAGCCCTCTCTCCTCACTTCCTGCTGCCCCTTAGAGGAAAGGGCCAGGAATGGCGGGGGAGGGGCCGCTTTGACCTTGTTTCCCTCGGGTCTGCCCTGCTGGCCGACTGTCCTCCCCACCCTTCCCCCCTGGGTCCTGCCCAGGCCGCCTGGGCCAAGCGACAGGAAGGCTGTGGGATCCCATCAGGTGCCAGCCTCCCCCAGGCCGGAAGCTTCCTTAACACTGAACGCTCTTCTCCCCAACTTTCCCCTGAGGTTGAGACCATCCTAAGATCCAGTAGAGTGCAAGGGCCCTGGTGTTGGGGGTTTGGGGAGTCAGACCATTTGGGGGATGCTTGGCTGGTTCCTCTAAGCAGGTGGTGAAGGGAAGGGGGTGTCTGGGAAGGGCTTGGGAGAAATTCCAGGGGCTGAGTCAATCTTTCCCACTGAGAGCGGAAGCGTCCTGTTTGACGAACAGACAATATGCTGATGTGTGACTGCGGCGGGGGGGCACGGGCTGGGAGCGGCCTGCAGCGTGTTCTGCTGGAGGACACTCCTGGGTGACATCCGCACTCCTTGCAACCTGTGGGAAGTAGGTGCCCATGTGTGGCTGGCCCCAGGAGGGCCCCAGCGAGGTGTGGACAAATGTACACCCCCTTAGATCACTTCGAACGAACCCCTTCCCCCAGCCTTTACCCTGCTGGCCCACTTCCCTGACGCCCAGGCCTCTTTCCTAACAGAGGCTGTGAAATTGGACGTCTGGGGGAAGTGGGCACATAGCCTGGAGTCTGCCCCTGAGGACCAAGGAGCCCAAGACGTGGCATGGGAGGGTGGCGTCCCTATACCACCATGCTGGCTCCACAGGGCACTGGCTTTGAAAGCTTCAAGGGTGGAGGCCCTGGGGAAACAAAGACCAGGCCAGGCTGTCCCAGGGTAGGGATACTTCCTCAGGCAGCAGCAGGAAGGAAGTGAGCACAGCACAGCACAGCGGAAGGGTGTGGGGAAGCAGTGACCTGACCCCCATTGTTTACAGCTCTGGGGTCAGCTGGGGCCCAGCACAGTGAGTTCTCCCACACTGGGACAGTGATGCTAGGAGATGGGGTGCCATCTGGCCAGTCAGAACCGTGCCTGGGGCAGTCAGTAGGCGGGACAGCAGATGACTGGACCTTGTCTGGTATCTTATTGGGAAAATGGGCAGATGCCCAAAGAACTGTAAGTCCAGGTTGCAGTGGGATCCTGCCAAGTGTGACCTCCAGAAGGTGAGCAGGCCAACTCCCCAGACCCAGAAGCCTGTGTGCTTGAACGCCCTCCTCCCTCACCAGGCGCTGGGCTGATGGCTAAGGGCTGGGCAGAGCAGTGAACGGGCCTCACAGCAGGCCCTGAGAAAGACAGGCGGAATGTCCACAGGGGCAGGGGCAGGGGGCAGGCGGCAGGCCAGACAGCGGGTGGCAGGGAATAGGACTGGGTGCTGAGCTTTGCTGGAACGGAGGCCCCAAGGCCACTCTCCTGGTGGGGTCCACAGGCAGCCCGGGAGGAGGCAGGTGGACTTGGAAGGCAGAGCCTGGAAGGAGACCAAGGGTGTGGTGCCACCCATCTGGCTGCTGTCCACCTAAGGCTGGGCCTTGGAGGTCCATAGGGTTTAGGCTGTGGCTCCATGTAGGGTCAGCTGGCACTGCTGACCTATATGAGGTCACATCCTCACATCAGGTTAGGCCAATCCCTAAGGAAGTCTCCCAAGCCCTTTCAATTCCGGGGATACCATCTACTGAAAGCAATATAGGAGTGGCCTCCATCCTGAGGGATCCTGTGGTTAGGTCTGTGTGCGTACACTGCCACCTCCTGGTCATGGCTGGGATGGCTGCAGACCGGGTTCAGGCTTGCCTCTGGCCTTGCTATAGATGGGGGGCCAGCGTCTTGGGCCCAGGCCTACCCACTGAGCCCAGGTGGCGATCTAGATGCTGGGTGTCACAGCCCCAAGGATGCCACTCTTGTCTTCAGGGTCTACAAATAATTTTATTGAAACTGAACCAATAACACAACTGCCTTCCTAGATTGGGGGCCACCCTCCCCACACCACTTCCCATACTCTGGAAGCACAGAGCTTGGACAGTAAGGAATTAAAAAAAAAAGTCATTTCTATCTAGAAATCAGACTCTGCCCCAACAATGTCATGGACTAGACTATTTACAAACTTTCACATCTTACGCCTTTCATGGTTGTTCTCTGTCCCTACCCAGGGCTCCAACACTTTCCCCGGATTGATCCTGAGGGAGGGGCACATATAGGGGGCAGGGTGGTGGGCTCGGAGCTACTGGCACCACAGGGTGGTGTGTTCCCAATGTGGGGGGGGGGGGGCTGGTGCAAAAGGCAAGGGGGATCACATGGAGTAGGGGGGTAGGGGCGCCGGCATCCAGAGCCCTTCCTGATCCCGTCCTATGCCTTCTCAACTGCGGGGAGGGAAGGACGACTCCAGGGGCAACTAGTTGCAGTGGGGAGGGGTCAGCCCAGCTCTGGGCAGAGGGAGAAGCCTCCACACCAGTCCCTCCTCCTGTTAACAGCCAGCAAACAGTCCCTCCGTCCGGGGGTGGGAACACAGGGCAGGTAGGTATGAAGAATCAGGCTTGTGTTGCCCCAGCCTCTGTCCAACAGAGGAGGAATCGAGGTAGCAAATGGCTGAAATGCTCCAACGAACGGGTAGAGGAAGTGAGGGAAGGGGAGTCCCCACTTGTGTACAGCTCCCACAGCCCAGGGGCTGGAAGAAAGACCCTACTTGTAAAGTGCTGTAGCCCCAGTAGGGTTGGGCCCCAGGCAAGCTTGGAAGCAAGCAGGCCAGGCCAGGGCACAGGAACCAGGCAGCCCCGGTCAGCATATGCCCTGCCAGGCTCCTTATCGGCACTGCCGGGGAAGGCAGGCTGGTAACTCCGCTGTCAGCCCTTACCAGCCACCTCTCATCCGAAGACAAACCAGCACCCAACCAACACTGCAGGACTGCCCGGCTCACAGCTGCAGCGTCCAGGCCCATGGAGTTTAATCAGGACAGTGGCTTCAGCCTGGTTCCTCAGTGGAAGCCACACCTTGAGCCTGAGGGTTTCTTGCTGAGGCAGGAGGTGCTTAGGCCTGAAAACCCCCAGGCTCACACCTCATAGAGGATCACAGGGAAATCCACGTGGATGCGGGGGGTGTCCAGCTTCACGGTGCCCTGCCATGGAAACAGGGGCGGGTGAGGGTCCTCTCAGGGCCCCTGCTCCAGGACGCCTTCCTGTTCCTCCCAGCTCCCCCCAAGAGCCCCACCATGGCCGCAGGCCCCGTCCGGGTCCGCCTCACACACTCAGCATCGGCCCCATGACCACTGCCGGCCCCTCACCTGAGGAATCAGGTTCTTATGCACCCGCCTCAGCTTGGCCCGCTTCTGCCCGTTCTTGGTGACGACTGTCTCCTCGTAGAATTCGTGAGCGAGATCTCCATCCTCGTCATAGAACATGGAGCTGTGTGGAGAGGGGACAGGCTGGGCTGGGGCCTCGCACCTGGTCCTGGCACAGGCCACAGGCCCCGGGAAGTGTGCCAGCTCCACAGGGAGGAAGGTAACACGCCCGGAGAGCCTCTTGCTTAGGGTCTGGGGCTACGAGGAGGTGAGGAGCGGGCAGCGGCCAGTGCCGCTGTCAGCCCCAGGAAGAGAGGCTTTACCAGAGCACACTGTCCGGGCAGCCAAGGCCAGTTCTCATCGCTGCTTTGTTCAGCAAGGACAGCCATGCCAGCATCAGGCCCTGGCCGTCACCAGGACTAACAGTGGGCAGGGTGGTGGCTGAGCATGTTGGTCCAGAAGACACCGCTGGCCCAGGGCCAAAGCCTGAGACAGCAGATGCCCGAGCTGGGAGGGAGCCGAAGAGCAAAAAGGCTGCGTCCTGCCCACCCGCCCCAGGTGGCCGGTGCAGCCGAACCGCCACTGTTGGGTTGCCCCAGTGCCTACAGCGACATCTCCAGCATCACCGAGTGTCGGTCCCCGGGGACACCCGGGCCAGTTCAGCCTAATGCTCCCGCTGAACTGAGCCCTGGGGAGAGCGGGAGGTCAGTGCTCCAGGTCTGGAGAACATGTCGGGGTGAGGGTCTTTCTTCCTGGGCCCCATCCCCAACACTAGGGCCCAGTCCTGCCTTCTCCCCCCGCCCGCCCCTCCCCTCCGAGGTCCAACCTCCCCACTGCGGGGAACCGTCACAGCCAACGAGGGGTCATCCCCTCAGAAAATCGGGGAGGGAGGCTAGGAGCCTTCAACTTGCTGGCTGGGCTTAAAGGGGTGAAAGGACGAGGTCCTTTCGTCTCAGGGGCCCGATCTTAGTTCTCCCTGGTGAGGCTGCCCGCCCGGGACAAACTCAGCCCACTTTTCTCCGAGGGAGATCTTAGGAGCAGCAGGCCTCCAGGAGCAGACGGCCGCCTTCCCTCGCTCCACAAGGGGCCTGAACCTGGGAGTCGTCCCAGCTCCGCGCAGGGGATACGGCGGGGGCAGCTACTTATGACGCGCGGCCCCGGCCGCCAGCCTGTCCCCCCCCCCCCCCCGGGGCGGAACCCCGCGCCCTTACCCTCGGCGCGTGAATACGAAGGGGGGCACGACTCGGCCTCGCGGACGCACCAAAGCCTGCTCCGCGGCCGCCGCCTCCGGGCCGCCGCCCCCCGCCGCCGAGGCGAAGGGCCACAGCCCCCGAGCTTTGGAGCCGCTGGTGCCCATGTCAGCGCCGCCGGCGCATGGCGGACCCCGCGGCCGCTTTGCTCTCACAGGGCAGTCCGCGCCACCATTCCTGCCCCGGCCTCCGCTCGCAGGTGCCGCCGCCGTCTTCCGCAGGGTCGGCTGTCTCCACGGAAACCTCATTTCCGCTTCCGCCTGTCCCTCATGCTGCCCCCTGATTGGCTGTTGCTCCCGTCGATCCGCAGAGCGAGACCAATAGCCGCCCCCAGACACCAGGCATCCCAGCATGCACCGCGAGACGTCAGGTCCCGGCAGGCCACGGTCTCCAGCCGGGGCAGCTCCCACTCAGGAAGGCGGTGGCTTGTCCTGCGCGTTTGTTTGGCGCGTATGGTGCCTCCGACGTGCCCGTGCCCGTCCCCGTCGGTCAGGTACGGCGGGCCTGCCCGACCACCAGTGTCCCCCTCAACCGGCTCTGTGGGACTTGACCCCCGGGCCAGGCCGGCCTCATTCTGTTCCCCTTTTGCCATCACCACTGGCAGGTGGAGAAACGGAACCTATGGGAAGTGAGGAATTGGCCACTCGTCATAGCGCCACATCGAGGCCTGAGAAGTCAAACCCAGTGTCCTCCCCGAACCAGCAGAAGGTTCGCTTCAGGAAGGCAGGGCGTAACGGCCGGCCGTGCCTCAGGGGCCATGAACAGCGTCCAGAGCGGCTCCCACAGCTCTGCTCTGGGGTGTGGGGTTCCCCTGAGCGCTGGCTGCAGCTGATGATCTTGCCCAAAACAAGACCTGAGCCCCAGGGTGCCGAGAGGACTTACATATCTGTACCCAAATCCTTCAAATTGGTCCCACAGTGACCTTGAAAAGCTGTTCGGTGAGCCTGTCCATCACCTTGGGCAGCCACTGGCATGAAGAGCAACTGGGGCCGTGGCCCATATAGAGTGCAAAAGCGGGAGAGTCTTGAATCTTTATTCAGCCAAGTTTTCCCAAGCCCCAGGCCCTGATGATGACTGTCATTCCCACCCCTTTCCCCACAGGAGGCATTCAGCTGAGGCCACAAAATATGCATTCACACACATCATGAAAAATACCCCAAGTAAGACCCTGGCTTTGATTGGCAAACAAGGCATGGACCTGAGCCAGTGCCCACAGACCCCAGCCCAGGTCCTCCTCCTTGGAGGTGCACTGAGGCACTGTTGCTGCAGTGGCAGCAGTGCGCGGACACCAGGGTGTGCCAGAGCCCAGGGCACTGCAGAGGGAAACCTGCATTCTTTCTCGATGCCTGCCTGGTCTTCAGCACCCACTATTGGTCCTGAGACCCCATCCCAGACATACATCCCTTCCCCATAGCTGAGGGTCCTCATCCCTGCAAACAAGACCTGATTCTGTTGGTTGGGTCTCCAAGATTCTCGTATCTGAGACACAAATTAAGGAGACTTCTGTCTGCTCTACCCTTGCTGTAACCCTGTCCACCATGACTCAGGACACGAAGGGCAGAGGGTGCAGAGCCATGCTCTGCTACACCCACGGGTGGACACTGGGGGCCCGCTCCTTTGCTGCTCTCTGGGTTCATTCCGCCAGCCAGATGAGGGCCTCCATGCACACTCATTCCTCAGGCCAGACAGGCCCTGTCACACTCACACGGCACACCCTCTGTGCTGCCTACGCTCCTCCTTCCACCCAGGGGGATAAGAGGTCACCCCAGGGGGCAGGCATGCAGGGCCTCCTGGATCTTCTGGCGGCAACAGGAGTACTTCTGCAGGATCTGGCGGAGGTGTTCCTCTTCCTCCCGCTGTAGGATGCGCAGGAAGTTGTGGAGCTCAGGCATGCTGAAGGCATCCCACTGCAGGGAGGAGGGGTGGCAAAGGCTGCAGCAGGCATGGCCAAACCAGCAGGCCTCTCCAGAGAAGACCAGAGCATCATGGTCACACCTGAGGCTTTCTGATCAGGTTCTTGCCTGAATGGTCTGTGCTAGGGTTCCCACCAAGTCTGTCTAGAAGACGGGTCCCACCAAGTAGGCAGTCACCTCGAGACAGGTAACCAAACCAGATGTTCCCAGTCACCACAGACAGGTCATGCTCACACTCTTGGAGTCTAATCCCACTTCATGGGCCCAACACATTGGAACCAGAAAGCTCCCAGGTGAAAAGTCCTCACGTCTGGAGGGAAGCCCAGGACGTCCTGGGGCCACCTGTGTGGCTGCGATATGGCCTGGGATCACCACAGCGTGAGATGGACTCCTGCGTCTCCCGAGGACTCCACGACGGGAGAGAGCAGAGCACCAAGGCGTCGGAGACGCCCAGACTTGGCACGAACGGCCAGGAAGCCTTCACTCGGCCACAGGCTCACACACTCCTGGAGAAGCGTGGCTTGTCCGTCACCCTCCTCCTCCTCCTCCTCCTCCTCCTCCTCCGAGCCTTACTGTAGCTGCAACCCTCAGCCCTGCCTAGTGACAACCCAGAATGAAGGAGGCTGTGTACTCACGTTCACCTCCCCAGAGTCATTCTCCTTCAGCACGAAGCTCAGGGCCTTTTCATTGGGCCCCGCAAGGAGTCGTAGCCGCAGGGGCTGCTCATCATCCGACAGCTTCCGGAGGTACACTGAGGTCAGCAGGGGGAGTGATTAGTCAGGCCCGGCCCCGCAGCCCTGCCGCACAGCTGCACGCACATACACCGCCCAGGGGGGGAGGTGGGAGCCCACCTTGGCCGTGGCGCTCAGCCCGCTCAAAGAGTGCGAACTTGCGGGGGTCATCCACCACCAAGAACTTGCGCAGCAGGGCCTCGATGACCTCGCGTGCCCGCGTGCGTGACAACACGTGCAGGTGCTTGACAGCATCCTTGGGCAGGTAGAAGGAGGTGCGGCGCCTCACGGCTGTGCTCCGCCCTGGGCCCCGCCGGGCGTCCTGCAAGGTGGGAGGCTTCTTGCTGGCAGGCACGGAGACAGGGCGCACCAGCTTCAGCTGCACCTTGATGAAGCCTGTGTAGGAGCCGTCCTTGTTCTGAAGAGAAACCGAACCATGACTGGCTTCCAGGTGAGAAGGGACAGATCTGGGCACTGCCAGTCCGCACGGGGCCAGGCTGGATGTGCACCAATCTCTGCTGGGCCCGCCCAACCGTCCCTCAGCTGCGACCCTTCAGACATCGGGCCCACAGCTGGGCCCCTGCCCCTCCCCGCACCCCTTCCAGGCTGTCAGCTCACCAGGCTCATGAAGAGGTTGCTGTTGATCTGGCCGTTGTACTCCTTGATCTTCTGCTCAATCTCAGCCTGAGAAAGGTCAGGTGTCTCCCACTGCACGGGCTCGTCCTGAAAGATGGGCCAGCATGGACTCTTAAGGGGCCATCTCATGCGGCAAGGCATGCCATAGCACAGAGGTGAGCCCTGGGGGGGCCGCTCTGAGAAGCGGCCTCTGGCGTAGCCTTTGGAAACTGACAACGTGTGGGCCTGATGAGAGAACCCATCACTGCTCCGGGCTCTGCATGCCAGGGGTGGAGACAGCAAAGGCTGCTCTCCTCCCCGACTGCGACAGTCCAGGTGAGACCCTAAGGGCACCTTAAAACCAAGGCACTGAAGCACAAAGCCCGGGGCCAGGAAGAGAAAGGGACATTGGAAAGGACTCTCACTCACAGTAAAACTACTGCAGCGGCACAGCCCGGTGCCAGCACTTTAGGTGGGCCTGTGTGTGTCCTGCAGAAGGAAGCCCACTTTGCCCCTCACCCTGGCAAAGGGCCCTGACCCACTGCATGGTGAGAAGTGTGAGGGCTGGTGGCACAGCAGGAGCCCAGCCACCAGTGGGTAGAGGGGAGGGGAACCTCTAAAACATTAGCAACCCTTGGCAGAGGGCCTGGGGCCAGCCGCACGTCTGAGATCTAGGGAGGAAACCACTGTGACATGCCATTTGAGCTTGACCCAAGCTGCACAAAAGGTAGCTGCAGGCCAGGTTCCAAGTCTGCCTCCTGCTGGAGCCTGCCCACAAGCAGGTAGGTTTCTGCACCTCCTTCCTGCTGTTGGATGTTTAGTGCAAAGAGGCAGCGCCACCATTCGGCCCCTCCCCCACTCCTCCAGGACTTGGATCCTTATCGGAAAGGTGGAGTATGGACCTGGGCAGTCGGGCACTGAATAAACTTTCTCCTACCAACTGCCTTGGTCCCATTGCATCAGCCTCACTTCCTTTCCGGGTGATGTCAGACAGGCCCTAATAGGAGTGGGAGTGTCAGAGACCAGCTGAGATCATGGCTGACTAATGCCTTGTCCCCAGTCCCCAGGGAGTTCCCACCAGAAGGCCTCTTACAGAATAACTGTGCCCGGGCTGTGCTTCGGCCCCTAAGCTGAAACCAGCTGATGGGGACGGACTGGGAAGACAGGCGAGGACGCAGGTGGAGTCAGCCTGTCGCTGTGTGCTCTGCGCCCGGACTCGCTGCTGTCCAGCAGAGCAGGGCGGTGCTGAGGGTAGGGTGGGCTCTCCAGGAGAAAGGTCCTGGGAGAGGAGGGAACTGAAGTCTGTTTGCTTCCCCGAGCTCCCAAGGTCTTGTGGAGAGAGGAGCGCATCGAGAAGTGACAACTTCAGCACGAGCCTTGGGGACAGCGGGAGGCCCCTAAGGCTGGTAAGAACAAATGTGTGGGCCCTGGAAAATGGGGAATCTGGGTTGAGGTAAAGGAGGGCTGGAGGCTGGGAATAAAGGGTGGGTATGTTATTCAGGCCCAAGGAGAGGGCCTGGGACCGAGAGGAATGCCTCAGCGAGGAGCGCCAGGATGAGAGGGCTGCTAGGGGCAGGAGGAAAGCTGAGCGGACTCTAGTGCCAGGGCAGGAAGGAAGAGAATTCTGGTCACAGAACAGGGTGGGCACAGGGACGGCACTATCTTATTCCCCTGCCTTTGGCTGGTTCTGAGCTCCAGCCTGGGAATGAGAGAACTTGCTCCTTCCTGTTCCCTTCCCGAGTAAGTCAGGGCCCTGGACTGGGAGGCAGTGGCTCCGTTCCAGCCCCTTTCCTTCTCCGGGTGACCCTCCCTCAGTAGAGTTACTCCTAAAACAAGGGCCTTGGGCAGGAGGCACCGTGCCTCCCACGGGTTGGAGAGGAGGAAGGGTTTCTTTTTGCGTTTCCAAGCTGCCTGGTGAAGGGGATTCCAAGGGCCATCCCAGAGGGATGCCCAGCAGGATCAGGGCATCTCCGTCTGGAGCACAGAACCGGCTTGCCAACTGCCACTGTCCATGGTGACCGACGGTCTGATTCTACATACAACCGGGGACGCCCCCGCTCTGGGTCAGTGGGTAGCGTCTTGTGGTTTTCTCGCCTTTCCACAATGGAAAAGAGCTCAGGCCCGAGTGACAGGGAGAGTTTCAGGGATCCACCCTCGGAGCTTGCACGGAGCTCCGGGCTGAGCTCCTGAGGTCCAGTCTTCATCTAAAGCACGATCCACACCCCTTCTCTTGACTCATGTGAGGATTCGCCTCCATGGCTGTAGGGTCCTGCGCTTCGTAGTCCCATCTCTCTTCCCCATGCTCTGGCCAGGGGTGACCAGCTCCCCAGCAGCTAGTTATCTGAGCCTGGCGGTCACACTCACGGCACAGAGGTCTCCAAGGCGGGGGACACCAGGAGACTCCCTTATATCCTGGGTTAGGGCCCCCCTCCCAGCGACTTTACAATCTGGCCTTCCCCACCTCTGTGGATAAAGTGCCCGGATGCTTAGGGTCCCAAACAAGGCTTCCTCCCCCGCATCCCCAATCTCGGATCTGCTGGTCCGCTCCACCTTCAGTGTATGCGCCCCCCAGGGCGCACTGCGCGTGCACCCGGGAGAGGGGCTCAGAACCCTCCACAATCCAGCAGCTGCGACAGGCCAGGACCCGCCAGAGGTGGAGACTCAGCTCCATCCGGGAGTGCAATGGAGGGCGCACACCACGCCTGCCCTCTCCCCTAAGAACACTTCTCAATTCCCGGCGAAGACTCCTCCCTCGCCACTTCCTCCTGGTTCCTTCCCAGGGCGGGTGGGTGAGCCCGAACGCGGAAACCGAGGTCTAGTCCGGCCTGCGCCGCGCCTTAGTCATAGGCGGACCGTGCCCGTCCCTGGTCTGCCCCACGCCACGTAGCTGCTCCCCCTGGTTGGACCGGTCTGTGACGGGGCAAGGCCTCGGCTGCCGGGACCCACGCGCTGAGAGCCCGGCACACGGTTCCACCGGCTGCCCCGGGCCGGGCCGGGATCCACGCTGACGGGAGCGCGGGGCTGCCCACGAAAACTTACCGGGCAGGGGCGGGGTCCCGCGATCGCCCCGGCCCGCCGCCCGCCGCCTCGGCCCCCACCTGGTCCCGGCGCGGCCGGCGCCCCAGCGAGGTGCGCGCCGTGAAGTACTGCTCCAGCTCCGAGTCCGAGTCCTCCTGGCTGCAGTAGCCGCTGCTCGTCGTGCTGCTCCAGGTCATCTCGAAGGAGGGCGTCCCCGCGTCCGCCTCGCCCATCGCCGCGCCCGCCGCCGGCAGCCCACCGAGCCGCCCTCCCGGAGCCTCCAACCACCGCCCCGAGCGCGCGTGCGTCCGTGTGCGCCTGCGCCGCCCCGTGTCCGCGCGGCAACCGTTACCGGTGCGAATGGCCAGCGGCGTCGGCCTCGCTCTCCTCTCATTGGAGGAGGAACTCTCAGGGGGCGGGGCCACGAGCGCCCCGCCCCCGGGAATGATCTCATGGCCCAGGCAGCTCCGCTCGACTCCGCCGCGGGTCTCACTTCCCGGGGGGACCAGGCGGCGCGTGGGCGCGAGTGCGCATGTGCTCCAGCGTGGCCGCGGGACCGGATGCGGTGGCGGGAAGGCGCGGAAATGGCGCAGGCACCCAGCTGGGCGGCGGGGTGGTCCGCGCGGAGGCAGCCCTCCCGCGCCCCTTCGAGCCCGCGCCTGTTCTCCACTCTACCGCGGGGAAATCGCGCGGCGGGGCCAGCCCTCGGCCGCCTGCGGTGGGGCCCGCTCGCCCGCGCGTCCCGGCCCCCCCCGCGCGCCCGGCCCCCACTCACCACGTTGGTGTCCCGCTCGAGCGCCGGCTCCCAGCCCAGGTCCCGCGGCCCGCAGCAGTCCAGGCAGACGAGCGCGCGGCAGCGGTAGTGGCAGGTGAACTTGCAGTCTGCGGAGAGGACGGGAGAGAAGCCGCAGGGTGGAGGCCGTTACCGCCCGCGGCTACCCGGCCTCAGGGCTGGTCCCGGCGGCGGAGGGCGGAGGCCGCGGCGGTTAGGGACCGGCCTGCTCTGCAGTGGGAGCTCTAGCGCAGAACGTCCGCCCTTGAAGGGAGACGCAGCAACGTCCTAACCCAAGTCCCCTCTAGTTGTCACCTGTCTACTCCCCAGACCACAACATCAGCTCTGACCCACTTGCACGCCTTCCTGCCTTCACCCGCCTCCAGGAACCGCCCTGGCGGGTCCTCAGCAGCCCAGGGGTTGCCCAACCCCGCCGTCCCCTCTCCACCCTCCCCTCCCTAGCAGGGGATGCTGCTCCCCTCGGTTCCCAGGGGCCCCCACGACCCCGTGTTCTACTTCCCCGCAGCTCCTTTGGTCAACACCCAGATGTGAGGGTAGAATGTCACTGCCCTGCGCTGTGTACACTCAACCCACCCAGACCCAAGGCTTCCCTCGCCCGCTCCCCACTCAGGTCAAGTCCTACGTGTCAGCACCTTCACTTGGATGTCACATTTCAACCAACATGGCCAAGCCCCAACTTTTCTTCCAGCTCACCCACCCCTCACCAGAACTCCTTGTCTCAGCAGAAATGGCTACTGTTCTCCCAGCTGTTGGAGGCAAAACCCCCCAACCCGTCATGTCGTCGACTCCAGCCTTGTTTCTGCCTCTGACACGTGCCCAAGTTGTCCTGTGTTTAATTTCCAGGGGCACTTTTTTCTCGGGAACACTGCAACGCCCCAGCCCTTGTTCACGCTTTGTATTCTGTCATGCCTCCCTGTCTGCTCCCAGCTGACTTCAGGACAGACTCCTGTGCCGGCTGGGAGGGTCTCCATGCACAGACAGGCCTGGGCATCTTCCTGAAGTTCTTAAATGGGCCAGAGCAGTGCTTTGCCACCCAGGCTGCACATTAGAAAGATGTTTTAAAAATCGCTGATACACTCCCAGTGATGGGTTCAACGGGTGTGAGGTGGGGTCCAGGCACGGGTTTGGAGGGCTGTAACAGCATCCCCGTGATTCTGGCTGGTGTGCAGCCAGTAGGAGAGCCACCTCTGCTTGCCGCTGGGACCAGGCAGGGCAGAGGACCACAGGTGTGTGGTGACTGTCTTTCATGTTTTAGCACCTGTTTGACTCGGCCTGTGATACGAATTTGCTATATGAAGACAACAAAATCCCTGCTTCAGGGGGCCCACCCCAGGTTCCACCTTTTCCCAGGCCCCCTTTCCATAGGTGGGCAAATGCCTATCGCCCCAGTGATCCTGGGAGGAAACGTGGTGAATGACTCTGGGAAGGGGCAGGCCTGGGAACATGGACTTAAGAGACTGGTAGGCACAAAGCCTTTCTCAAAAAGGGCCAAGGGGCCGGCTGGTGTGGTTCCGTGGTTGAGCATCCACTGATGAACCAGGAGGTCATGGTTCGATTCTCGTCAGGGCACAAGCCGGGGTTGCAAGCTCGATTCCCAATATGGGGTGCGCAGGAGGCAGCTGATCAATGATTCTCTCTCATCATTGATGTTTCTCTCCCTCACCCTTCCTCTCTGAAATCAATAAAAATAAAAAAATAAAAAGGGCCAAGCAACTTGAATTCAGCACCTTGGTATTAACAGGCAACTACCTTGCCCAGCTGTGCCCCAGACGCAGGTGCAGTGCGTGTGGCAGATAAAAAACACGAGGCCACTGTCTTCCGTGATGTGATGGGTGCAGGATTGGCCCTGTCCGCGGGGGCGCCCGCCTCCCCCACCCCCTGCGTCGCGGCTTGACCCGCAGCAACTGTGTTGCCCTTGGACCACCCCTTTCGCTCTCGCCAGCTCTTGGGGCCGCTACTCACGCGCGCACTGCAGGCCCTTGCGCACGACGCCCCAGATGAAGTCCCCGCAGAGGTCGCACCACGTGTGCGTGGAGGGCCCCGCCGGCTGGAAGCGGTGGCCGCGGCCCAGGACCGGCTGTCTGGCTGGGTGGCGCGCGGTGCCGGGCGAGATGCGCACCGCGTTGGCGCGCTCCAGGCGGGTGCGCCCGGGGCCGGCGCGTCGTGCGGGTGCCAGGTCCCGCAGCTCAATGAGCTCCGGCTCAGACATGGCCCGGTCGGCCGGGCTCGGGCCGGCTCTGGGAGCCAGCGAGCGTTCGCGGGGCGGGCGGGCCCCGGGGCGGGCCCCGACGCAGCGCCGCCCCGGAGATCCAGGCGGAGCGGAGACCCAGGCGGAGCGGCGGGAGCGCGCGAGGGGAGCGGCGTCAGGGGAACGTGGGCCCGGGGCGGCGTGGACCCGCAGGCGGAGTGGGGCGGGGTTGGGAGGCACCGCAGGGCACTCGCTCCAACTTCCCGCCCTCCCTGCACCCCAGAGCAACTCCCCTCCCCGCGACGAGGAGTGCAAAAGGCCACACGGAGACGGGTGTTTCTGGAGACCAGCTTTACAGAGCGAGAGGAAGAGGGTCCCCACATCCGGTCCTCGCCCTCCCCTGCTCCCCGAGCTTGCCCGCTGGGTGGGGCAGGAAGCGGGGAGCACTTGGCTGGGGGGACGGGCCGCAGGCTGCCTGCTCTCCTCACCCCGGAGGCCGGGCGCTGGCAGAGCCCAGGCTGCGATCCCGAGGCCCAGGCGCACCTCTGGCTGGTTGCATGGCTCGGGGGTGGTGGTGGTGGGGGGGGCGGTTCAGCAGCTGCGCTTCACTTCACTCTGCCACCCTGGGCGACCGGGACGCAAGCCTTTCGGTGCTTCTCCCAGTGCTTGACTTGGCACTCCCTGCAGGCAAGTGGGCCCGTGAGGAGGCAGAGTGGGGTGGGTGTGGAGAGGGGTGTAGGGGCCCACGTCCTAGGGTGCCCTCACCTGCAACAATACCACTCATTTTGGCAGCGCGAGCAGCGTTTGGAGGCCTCTGCGCTGCAGTAGGCACAGCGGGGCCGCTCCGGAGACACCGCCTCCAGCACATCCAGCCTGTAGGTCTCAGCCCACCTGGGAGGAGCGTCAGGAGGCCTGGCTGGCCTGGTGGTAGGGGGGGCGCCGCACAGGAGCACCCCGACCCCCTCCATGCCTCTGCGTCCCTCCCACGCTGCCGCCCTGCAGCCCCACCTCTGCGCCTGCAGCCGGAGGTCCTGCTCCGAGGGGCTGAACACGTGCTGCAGCTGGTGCTTGGCCATGGCCTTCCACTTGCCTTTGTTCTCTCGCTCCAGCCGCTCCCAGATTTCCGGGATCTGGGGGGAGAAGTGGGGAGTGGCAGGGAGGGGCAGGCAGCGGGCGGGGGTCCTGAGCTCGGGCTCCCAGTGCCTACCTGCTCGAACACCAGGTCCTTCTTGGGGGGCTGGGGCTCGGCCATTGCCAGGTGGGCCAGGAACCCCTGCAGGTCCGCCAGGTGGGGCAGCTGGTCGATCAGAGTGTCTGTGAGGAAGGCCCGAAGCTGCAGGGGCCAGGGGAGGCCAGTGTGACATGGTGCTGACCGGCGGGTCCAGGAACAGGGTCGGCTGGGCTGGGCTGAGGGTGCCTTCGGGCCCATGTCCCACTAGTTGCTATTACCTGAGGCCCAAGGTCTAGGAACAGGACTGGGGCTGAGGTGGGTGGGCACAGACCGAACGGCAGGGATGGGGTAGGCTCAGAGCTGGGCTGTGGGGTGCGTGGGCGGCGTTCCCCACCTTCAGCAGCTGTCCTTTGGCGAAGCCTGTGAGGCAGTAGCGGGCCCGGGCCTCAGGACTCAGCAGCAGGTTGTACAGGGCGATCCACACCTGCCCGTCCAACTTGCTCATCTTTTGCTGCTCTGAGGGGGCCACTGTCTGCCAACGGCCCCCCTCAAATTGCTGCAGCTTGCCTGGGAGAGGAAGCAGCATTCTGGGTGCAGGCAGCGCATGCTCTGTGAATGAGCAGCCGCGTGGGCAGGGGACTGACCGCTCCCGAGTAGAATGAGTCCTTGGTAGTGGACACGTGGGCCCTGCCTGCTGCAGAGCCTGGGTCTAGGCCCACTTCTGGGTCAGCCATCCTGACTCCCTCTGTGGGCCGGGGGGCACAGTCCGCCTACCTGTGTGCATGCTGCCCACCCACAATCCTGGAGGACACCCTGGAAGCTCCGAGCTGGGGCTTGAGCAGGTGGAGGAGGACCGTACCTCCTTCCCTCCGGCTCCAGGGACTGTGCTCCAGCAGTTCCACCAGGAGGCAGGGCAGGTTGTGGGTGCTCAGCATGCGGCTCAGGGTGCTCAGGGACAGGCTGGGCAGGGGGGGGCGGGGGGAGGGAGGTGAGTAGAGGTGACAGGTCCAGGCTCCTGCCCTTCACCGAGGCCCGAGGCCGCAGGGCAGCCCACCTGTCCACACAGTCAGTGACGTAGCGGAGCACGGAGAGCGCCTTCAGTGCGATCTCAAATTCCATCAGCTCAGCCTGCGTCTGCAGCTCCTGGGGGGCACGCGGCGCTTAGGCCCGGGGAGCCAGGGTCTAGCTCCTCCAACCCCGGGAACCTCAGCCCACCTTCATGGGAGAGACGTCCTCGGCCTCCTCCTCCGGGGGCTCACCGCGGCCGCTCCGGGCCACCAACAGAGTCAGTTTGCGGTGGCAGTAGTCCACCAGGTCCAAGACGGTGTCCTCTGCTGACTCACACACCTCCTGGGGGTGGAGGGGGGACATTCTCTCTGATGGCTCCTCCCAGACACAGCCCCTCTGGCCACGAACGAGGCCCTGGCCCGGGGCAGGAGCCAGTAG